TTGTAGCGATGACAAATACCACTTCCGAATTTCAAATGCTATTTTATGCAACAGCAAAAACGCGAGCTGCGCGAGCGACAGCAAACAGGTAAGCAGGCAGGTAAGCAGGCAGGTAAGCAGGCAGGTAAGCGGATTTGAAGAAACCGCCACGCTGTCACATACCCGAGCTACAAAGAAGCTTTGCAAAAATCACAGGCGGTAGCGACTCGCAAGCCGGTTGCGAGAGCAGTATCCTCGGTCAGGGTCGGCGAGTGTAAGCGAGCACGAAGGTAGATCAACGTTGATGTCAGCTCATGTGTCGCCGGTTTTAAGAGTCGACGATAAGCGCAGTGTTATAAGCACATCGCGCTATCCCGACGTAGTCGCCGTCGGAAAACTACGTGCGACTATCAAAATATATAGGAATACATCGGTGATAATGCCGGTAATATCAGTTCCGCGATACGTTCCACTGCGATTTTAACGCAGCAGCAAAAAACCGTAACGGAAGTAGCGGTAACAAATAAGCGGTAAGCCGATATTCAAATCGGACCCGATTTGAGTATAAATGCGCGGAGCCGCACAATTAAATCGACCGAGCAAATGGAATTTAAACGGATGCGTATATTGGATATATATATACCCTCTAAAGAATCGATGGACTCGAAAATCCTCTCCAGCCGGTTCCAAAAGACTCGTTTGCTTGCTTCATTCACTCGTTTGTCGAGCGGAGGCGAACTTTGAATTGCAAAAGCGTGCGAACGGAATAACGTAAAGATTAATGTAGACGAACGAGAGATATCATATCTGGTTATTTAATCCGAAGTAGTCACCTGATTTTTTTTTACAAAAATAATCTCATCTAAGGTGTTTTTACACTCCAATTAAAATCACTGTTATTGATAACATATTGTATATTATATTATTGTTAAATTTGCAATATCAAATTGTATCTAATTTGAGTTATTTTTAGTTATTTTTATAGGTCATCACTACTTCTACTCAATACGATGTTAATTTAACTAAAACAAATAAAGTTAAATAATTTAATTTAAGAAAATGTATTGAATTTGACTTAAATTTAATTACTAAGTGCACACGTTAATATAAATGTTGTTTACTTTGAAACTAACTACAGAAATGGATTTACATTTTGACACGTATGGAAGTTAAAAATAACAAAATGTTATTTAACTGAAAGAAATTGGATTATCATTGCTCCTTTGATATCTAACAGTGTTGATTGTAATCTAATTTATTAGTATTTGAGAACATTATATAGATTTAATTACAATTTTCTGAAAAAAAGAAACTAAACAAATATTAAACAGAATAAGAACAAAAGCTTATTATGACAGTAGATATTTTTAAAATAAATATTTTAATTAATATAACGTTTTTTCATTAATTAAATTGCGTATTTAAAGATAAAAAATAGTTATTACAAAAGAAAAAATATATTAAGAAAGATTTTCAAAATGATATTTAACATTTCACATTTTTTCATTTTGTAGAGTATAAAAATACCTCATTATTTCCAGATTAAAGAGTCGAACTAAGGTAGATTATTTTTCTCTTACATAATAATAGAACATTATACAGATCACAGTACATCGCCTTTATTTTTCTGAATTTCCAAAAAATCAAAATTTGATTAATTGTATCATGCGATTAATTTAAAATTTTAATGTAACGTACTTCATTTACTCACCGTCCTTCTCATTATATATAGAATAGCGCGATAAATTTATTACACAAGTGCAAACATTTGACACAAATGAATCATTTAGAGGCTGCTTTTTTTGTAGCAGCTCGCTACTCGTCTCGAATCTCACGCCGAGGTAGGCGAATTCTTGAACGCGCGATTTCGTAGCTGTAATGTGAGTAGCTGCAATTTCTATTGCAAGATAATGCCACACGAGGCAACGTAGCACTGTTTATCCCTCGATTCATAAAACGTACGGAAAACTTTTTTTTATACAACTGGCTGAGAAATATTTTGTGGCTGTTAAAGTTCTGAATACTTTGATACTGTACTATTGACGTTAAATAATAACAAAAATTATGAGCAGTATTATTAAAGAGTCTCTGACATATTTTTCATTTCACTAAAATTAAATATAACATTAAAGTAAATTATTACATAATATTAAATTATCACATTATGTCAGTGTACTCTTTAACGTTCTCTAAATCGTATTAATTAATTTCAATTGGATTTCTTCGTTGAAGATAAAAAAAAGCAAGAGAAGCAAGATAGCAAGAGAAGCGGAGATAACTGAATAATTTTTTGAGATAATTGAAGATTGTATGTACTTATTGCCAACATTATACTCTTCATTCTGATCACACTCTGGCAATATTATCTTAACTAAGATTATAAAATACTGGTTTCAATGATATTTGCAATGATAATAACGTTTCGATCTGGAAGATAATTAATGCAGCCGTTATCGATACAGTATCATCGTTATATATTCTCGCATGTACGCCGTGCATGTATGCGAATCAATAAGCCTGTTCTTATATTATCTTATATATATATAAATATATAGAGTTTATTTTACTTCAACTTATTGCACCGTGTGCACCAGTTCAGAGTTTTTTGATACAGAGCAGACCTAACAGTGCGACACGTAGTATCAACGAAATGCGCGTTGAATGTCAACCTGCGAAGGAGATCGAAACACATCTCGTCGACGCTCCTCGGGTGAATCAATTTCGTTCTATTATTACGATTGGGCTGACGAGATGTAACAGCGAAAGAAGGGAGATGACTCACTTTGCCGAGTTGTACGTGCAGCACGTACACGTGTACATACGCGCGTGTGTGTGTGCGTGCGTGTGTGTATGTGTGTGCGCACGTGCGCGTCTCGGTTCCGCGCTCGCGAAGAGAGGAAGGCGTGAGCGCTGCAACGATCACTGGCTGCAATCGCCGCTTCTCTCCTTCATTACTCATCGCCTAAGTGAATGATGCAAATCATGTTCCGGGCAAACAGTCGCGTTTGCATGCACGCTCGAGAGAGACTTGTGCGCGTTTACGTTAAACGCGTATGAGTTTCTCTTTTTTCTCGCGTTGGCGTAGAACAGAGGTTCCCAATTCGCTTCGACTTTCCAATTTTTTCGTACGTAACACGTTTGATGGTGTGATGGTGAAATTCTATATATATATTGAAAGATGAAATATGAATACAACCAATTTCTGAAAAATTTTATTAAAATTCCACCGCTTCATTTGATTTCTATTAATGAATATTCATATTTCGATGAGACATTAGTCATTCTTCTCGCGTGAGTACATTATTGTTAGTTTATTATTATAAAATAGAAATTATAATGGATGCAAAGTATCTCAATTACGAAATGTTTTGTGCAAGTTGGGAATCGCTGATATAAGAGACTTGCATAACGCATCGTAACTGTTTCTCTGGATCAGCTGACACGTATAATCGTTTCGATGAAGTATCATCGTCTTTTCCTTCTTTCTCGTTACATGCGATGCGTTTGTAATTAAACGCGACTGCAGCCAATATTTGAGAAACGGCAGTCGACAATGCGTTATACAAGGAGAGTGCCAGAGCACTATCGCGTTATTTATCTTTTACTTTTCATTCTGCGACTGGCCTTGGACATATTTCTTAGTTCCACGTTGTAGACAGCTTAAAAATGCGCGCAGTCATGACGCTCATAAAAATGTAAAAATTATATAAGATTAACACATTTTTTTATCTTATATCTCAAATACAGTAAAAAATACAATAAAAAAATGTTATACTTGTATTAGAAACGATCCATTCAAATCCTTGTTAAAATTTTATTGATTTTTAATCCCAGTGTTAATTTAATATAATATAACTGAGTTACTTGAACATTTTATGTTAAATTGATATTTAATTAGTGTTCAAATAACACAACTTATAAGTGAACAAATAACATTAAAAAATGTATTTTAAAACGTAAATTCTAAGGTAAATAAGATAAAATGTATTTTATCAAATATGTTAATTTTAAGGCAATTTTAATAAAGAAATACGATTATTTACAAATTAGATTACATTTTTTGTGTTAATTTTTGTACGAATATGTGTGTTACTTTCTAATATAGTCTTGTATTAAATTAACTAAACAATTTTGACATGTAAAATGTCAAAAAATTAAAAATAAATTTAATGCAAATTTTTTTCTTTAGTTGAATTTGGTCGCCATCGCTTTCTAAAAAAGCTCATCATCAACATTATAATGGTATTATACGTCTCGAAATTAATTGTATGTAAAATATGAGCCTGTTTGTAATCCGTTAATAAGTTAAAGAAATTAATAAGTAAAAGCTCTCAATAATAGACAGTCTTACCATTAATACGATAGAGTGCCGTGGAGATATCCAGACCCATTTCTTCAAATTAGTGAAATAATATAGTCACGTAATATAGTTCCGCACATATAATCGCTTTCAAAAATTCACGCACATATCTTTCATTGTTGACATTATAGCATTCTCGATTAAATCAAAGCACACATATGGCAAGCGGATATCTCACTTTTAAACAACAAGCATTCGATTGCATATTTAATTTTGATACTCTTTAAATCTAAATCATTGGATAATTACTGATATCAGTCCCAAGTATGCCATTAGGTAATCAATAAAATTTAATTGAAAAAGAAAGGAAGATTCAGCATTATATAATTACCGATATTTGCATGTTTCCAATACTACATTGATTGTATACACTAGAGCAAGATTAACTAGTTTAGGAATTCTACGTTTCATCGTTTTTTTTAGTGAATTTCACCATAAATTCACTGATTTCACTCAACAGCACATTTGAGACTAATATCAATAATTACCCATTGATTTAGCTTTAAAAATTATAAATTAAAATTTTTTTTTTTTCATTAATATATAATAGATTCCATATAAAAAGAGAATGATTCTCTTAATTAACATTTAATTCTAATAAAATAATTCTACTTTTGATTTATTCTTTATACATAAAAATACTCTTATAAATTTCTTCATTTACTGTATCGATTCTATGACACGAGGTGACTCAAACTGCATTAGCGTTCACTTTCGCAATTTAAAATCCTGATCACCATACACTGCACGTGAGCGTCTAACGCACACACGAAAGACGCGTAGATTTAGCGCCGATCGGTCGTGATATTGCTCCAAAGTTGCCGATTCATGTGCCATGAATATTTACAAACGGCAGCACGCGTTCGACGTAGCACGAACTTTGTTTTTCTTGCGTAAGGTTGATTCGTTTAATTGTACATTCACAAACCGTTCTACGGTGGCAAAAAGGTGAATAGTTGCATTAAATATTTTTCAAAAATGTATTCTCTCTCAGGATGTTAAAACTGTTCGGAAATGGCACGAATGACACGTGAAATTATACTATCGCACGCTTTCGTCGTGTCGAAAAGATCCTGTCGTTCATCTGTCGAGCATTATAAAGAGGTGCGCAAATGTGGCTCGTCCGATCCATGTGACTATTAGTCATAGTTGATATACAAAATGTTCTAAGAATCCCGTGCGTTTTCTTTCAAAACGTAATGAAATAATTCAATACAAGCAAAAGTACACGGAAAGAACAATTTTGCTGAAATATCTAAGAATGAGTACAGATCTGAAAATAATTTTGTTTATAGACGATTGTTTATAGTTCGTCGTTGTTCAACTATCAAAATAATTATGCAGACATCTCAAGCATGATGTAACAATACTATAAAAAAATTTTGATTTTCTAGAAGCTAACTTGAGCGTTCTACATAATTATTTGAACAAAATTCTTTCGAATCTATACTTAGCTTTAAATATTTTTAGCAAAACTGTTCTATCCGTGTATAGTAAAATTAATTAATTCGTCATTAAAATGCAAATGACCTTTCAGTCATAAATGATCGAAAATTGAAAAACGTCGAAAGCGAAAATTAGATAATGTGCTCATGATTAAAGATTTTCCCTTGTCGAAAAGGCAAAGACTGCATGTAACGGGGAAGTGAATTGCATTTCCGGAATCATATCGCGATTTCCTCTGTTATATAAAAGACGTGTCAATTTTATTTTCGATACGCTCTATTGCTCATTCGCGCAAATATTCCAAGAAATATGTGCAGTTGAAGGTCGTAAAATTTATTGCATCCACAGTCGAAGCAGTCACGTGACTTATACTGCGCACGATCCGGGTTGTATAGGAGACATACGGAACGTTGGAGGCGGTTAAAATAGCAATAAATCACACCAAATGAAAATCATACTTTGTGCAATACCGCTTCTGTTATCCGTCGTATATATTCCGTAGTATTCGTCACACTCGGTCACGTATTTTTTCAAACGCGAATGCCCGCACTGGTCCGAATTCCGAATGAATTGATCAAGTATCCAATATCCGCATGTTTGTCTGGGCGCAACGGTTTCAAACGAACTGCGTGCTGTGCGTTGCTGATTGGAAATTCCACGATTCCTGCAAACGTTCGCTTGACCCCAGATCTCAATTTTTGCAAAAATAAACTGTAAAAAGTATTGGTGTGGATTCAGCATCGTGCGACGTATATATTAATACCCAGTGAGAATATTATATAGTTATAATTATAAAAAAATATTAGTGTGGATTTAACACCATGTGACGTCTATATAATTTTCGTGTTGGTGTTAATATTAACCGTATGGTGTTAAATCCACACTGATATTTTTTAGAATGTACGATTTTTAGAATGTAGGAAGTTATAGGATACAACTGTTTTCGACACAGCATTGGCGAGCGAGTCAAAAATGATGAGAATACAGTGATCAATCAGTCCCCGAAATTTTCTCGGATGGAAAAAGAAGATCAATCAGCTGTGTTTAGTTACTCGAATGAAGCTTTTATCGTGTACTTTGTTTCCGTACGTGATGATATGTTAAAAATGATATGTTGACGCGTATTACGCGATCGCGTGATAATTAGATCGCAAATTAAGTCAAAGAAGATGAAAAATAAAAATTCATTATTAGAAATAAAAATTATAATTTCCGATTTTATTGAATACCGATATACTATAGAGAGCTATAGAGAGGGGGAATGCGCGAAATAAGTCATGTGTCGCACCACTATTCTACCATCCGAACTTTTTTCTAACCGCGAGGACGTCACACGCGGTGGTGACGAAGACGATAATAATATAATTGGAGACTGCGTTTCCCCGACACGACGTCGGGACGTCGCGCGCGCGTGTCGCGAAACTTCGGGCGGACGGCACGTTACTGGAAACTGGGCCCCTATCGTTCCGCACAGCGACGAAAGATATACACACACGTTTCTCTTCTTCCTCTTTCTTTCCTTTACTTGCGCCGAGACACCTACACTGAAGTATTTCACGCGTGCGTTGTGTGGGCGGCTGTGCGTATCACTCGCACACACGTTTACGTATACATCCTCGTGGCGAATGACGTAACTCTGATAACGCCGGGAATACGAACTGGAATATCACAGTTTTTTCGTATCGATGATGCAGTTCGCGCCGCGTCGCGATTATCCATTTTTTTCGTTTCATTATCCACATCAAAGAACACAACGCTTTCGAAATGATTATCGAGACAGAGCTCAAATGAGTTTTACCAACATTGATATTTGCGATCTACCAACAACAGATAAAGCTATAAAACTGATTTAGAGTAGGAGAGGTCAGGAGACGCGTAGAACGATTGAAGCGAATTACGTGTAAAATAATAATAATTATCGAACACAGAACTGTTGTATATAAATGGAAAGGTTCTCTGCTGTGAGGAATTAATATTTATTAAAATAATTATGTAGGACACTCAAATTAGTTGCTAGAGTGCTCAAAACTCGAAACTTTTTGCTCATTATGTTTGTTATATTTTTAATTAATTATTTGTAATGATTATTTTATTTGTAATGATCCAACAAAATTATTTTCAGAGCAAAATTTTCTAGCAAAATTTTTAGATACTTCTTTCAGTAAAATTGTTCTTTCCGTAATAAGAAGGATAACAATTCATGGGCTTTCACTGACATAGGGGCATTGCCACAGGAAAAATGATGAAGCGCCTCTTATAAGTTTGACTGTCATTGTATGGAAATGTAAGAAATCGGTGTCACTGTAATTTCATCAACACATACAACGTTAAATTTAACATATGCCAGTATATAGTCAATATAAAAAAATATATCTATTGTGTGTTTATTATATAATTTAAATATAGATAACGTCACTATCATCTAACAAAGTTTTCAGATATTTCAAATATACTTCTGCCTACCATGTTTCTTTCTCGTAAAAAGAGTTAAAATCAATGTTGAAAAGTGAACAAGTGAGAAATTCGTTAAAATATATTAAAGAAATTATGTAACAAACGAAAAAAAAATTAAATAATTGCAATAATTACAAATTATTCACACAATTGATTTTGTACAGATAGACATATGAACATTGGACTCTAGATTTGTATCATGTATTTACGTGCACTCTAAAAATACGTTTTAAATGTATAACGTAGATAGTTTTCCATATTGCCGATTTGATCTTTTATCGCGTTTATATTCGTGTCATGAACAAAAGTGCTTTAAGAATAATATAATACGAAATTCGATGCGATACGGGGTGACTCAGCGTTTACAGATTAGTGTCAGTTGCGTATGTGCGATAGGGAACTTTTTATACCTCAGCGCGAAGTTAAAACAATAATGACAAAAAATATTCGCACAGGTCTGATCTGGTGTACATTAAAATAATATATACACTGAATTATAATATATTATAGATATCTCCGCATTATTAATGTTTTCCAATAACACATATCGTGTTATATATAATGTTGTATGTTTGATATTTTAATAAATTAATATATACATACAAACAAGAACATAAAGATATAAACATTATAAACTATAAACTTGTAAAATTAGAAAAACTAAATAAATAATTGTTAAGAGTGATAATACGTAATGAATAATTACAAGTAATAATTGTACATTTAAGTACATTGTACATTAACAAGTAATAATTGTAATTATTGTCACATTATTTATAAGTAATTTATTTTTTTCAATTTTAGAAATTTATATTATTCTTGTTTGTATGTTTATATTAATTAATTAATTAATTAATTATAAATTAATAATAATAATATTAACGTTGTCGATATACTGTGTTGGAAACAATATTTTAAAAAATCACATTTATTATTTACTTTTTTGCCGTCTCTTTTTTTATCGAGGAATTCGGAAAATCGTGTTCTCGCGACGTGTTATGTAAACACGCATGAAGACTAAAGTAATATTAGATATTTTTCGACCGCCACATAAACACAAAATCTCTTAGCGAAGAAAACGTGGTCTATTTTATGTTACTTTTTCTTTCTCTCCACTGTACAGTGTCACATGATTTCATTTGTGTCCTTTACAATACTGACTGCTGACATAAACCAGACGCTATTACCTTTCGCTATATTTCACTGCCGAAGTTGGGGTAATACATTTTTATAAGTCGACACCTCATTCAAATTTATAACAAACAAAACTTTCTAGGCGATATCAAAATTGAAAACACAAAATATAAACTTTTAATTATTAATTTTTAAAGTAAAATGTGAATAAATCATTTTATTTTATAATTTCATAATATCATTTTGTTGCATGTCTCTATGACTTTGTAACATTCAAAAATAGTTGAAAAATTAGTTGGAATCGTCGAGTAATAATAAAATTTTATTTTGAGATTTTTATTTGATTTCCTTTCGAAAAATTAGCTCGACGTATTGCCATAAATATATTATTTATCGCCTTAAAAAATAAACGACCTTAAATATACCGCTGCTGCAAATCAATAACATTTTGTAGAATTAATAAGGTAATAATTTATATAATAATGAAATATTATCAACTTCATTCAATTATTTAGTTCATTTATAAGGAATCAAGTAAGGAATAAATGTAAATATCTATGTATAAAGAAGAAACCTTTCCCATTTGTAAATAAAATAATATCAATGCTATATATGGATCTAAGATCTAGTTCCACAACTCACGGTTGTGAATATATAACTTTCAACCGAGGTTTTTTTTTATTCATTGTCTCTTTCCAATTTTGAAATTGGAAAGAGATGAGAAACAAGTTGAACCTCATGAACTGGGTCTAAATATCTTGATTTATATGTAGACATTTTTACACAACTAAACAAAAATGTAATATTATTTCATAAAATAAACATGATATTATATATATAATAGTAAATGAAAGAGTTTTTTAAATTTCGGTTCAATTATTTTCATTCAATGGTCCGTCCGTTCAATTTTTTGTTCTAAAGTAAAATCTCGACGAAATCTCAATATCATGGATCGAAATTTCAATCTCATACACAAGTAATCTTAATCTTACAGAATTTGGAAACTAACGAATACATTTCATTTAATCAAACAAAAACATTCTTTTATACCTATTACAATATAAATTTATTTATTGTCTAACGCAGTTTCGACAGATCTCATTACGTAAATTATTGAAATAACAGTATATTTTTATTAAAGAATAAATTAAATCTATCAAGAGACATGTACCAAGTCATACATAGGAAACAACAATCAAGGATCATTTATTGGGAATATCTTGGATTATCTCATCAACGGATCAAAAGATTTTGCAATTGAGATTTCAATTATATAATAAAGGCATATTTATTTTTTTTTATGTATATGCTTTAGAAACGGCGATAAAACCTGTATATATATATATATATATATATATATATATACATATATTGTACAAAGAATAATATATATAATACTCTACAGATAACAATTTTATTAAAAGATTGAAGACAATATTTTTATTAATTATTTTAATTTTGCGCGAAAACGATTGTGTTTTGAGTGTCCGATACAATAATCTAACTGTATATGCGGGATTAATTTATAAACTTAGTCTTCAATCTTTTAATAAAATTCTTATCTATAGATTATTATAAATACTATTGTGCACAGAGAGAGAGAGAGAAAGAGAGAGAGAGAGTATGTTCTTTTAAGAATGAATTCTCCGACATTCTAAGACCTAATCGTGTTCGGGTCTTTTTTGAGTGTTTTTAAAAAGTTTTTGTGATATTACAGTAATGTCAACGAAAAGATCACGTTTTGAACATGATCAATGATATATGATATAAACACGAGTAGAGGGTCAAAAGGACAGTTTTGGGATACCCTGTATAAACAATATAGGACTTTCTAGAAGTCTCTTCTAGAAAATTTATAGATTTTTATATATATTTTCGCTAGAGAGGATTTGTGTCTACCTAAAAATAAATTCGGATTTTTTGATTCAATAATTCTTTTCATCCTTTACTTGTAAACTCGTATCTGTTTTATTTCTGAAGTACGTCGATATTAAGTCCGTCGCTTAAAGTCCCGAAAAAATGTTTCATTTAAAAGAATATAAGTATATATATATATATATATATATATATATATACAGACATTAAAGAGAGTAAAAACGAAGAACACCGCGTGACGCTGTGTACAAAAAAGTACAAGCAAGTGAACAGACCTATTGACAAACAAAAGAATGG